CATATATATACATATAAATATACATAAGCACACACAATCTCTCTCTCTCTCTCTCTCTCTCTCTCTCTCTCTCTCTCTGTCCATTTATAATACATGACAGAAAAAGGGTTTTAAAAGTTAACAAGGTTGATACCATATGGCACAATGCTATTACAAAATCTAGTTGTTCTGTTTTGGATACCATGAAGCCTTCTCCCAGAAGGGAAAAAAAAAAACCAGTCATAAAGAAGATGTATAGTGTCTCAAACAATACTGCACACCCTGGCCACACATCGCTTTTAAAAAGTTATTTATATGCTATGTCCTGGGTAGAAGAAAGTGAACTTCCAATAATCTTTTCTGCTGTCCTCACCACTTTCTGCACAACCTTCCTGTCCAAACAGTAATACTTCTAAACCACAATAATACAACACAACAGGATGCTTTCAATGATCTCTCTGTAGAAAGTGGGAAAGATGAGGGAAGGAAGATGTGCTCTTCTCATGCGACATAGAAAATGCAGCTGCTGCACCTGTTTCACCAGTCTCACTGTTGAGTGTCCAAGCTAACCTGCTTGTCAGCTGCATATCCAGAAATTTGATACTACTAACCACCTCCACAGTTGAATAGTTAATACAGAGGTGTATGGCTATGTCTGCCTTTTCTGAAATTTATCTCTTTCGTTTTCCCTACATTTAAAATCAGGCTGTTTTTAGTACACCAGTTCATCAAACCTTCTACCTCAAGGGTGTCAAACTCAAGGCCACGGGCCGGATTTGGATCGCAATGAGGCCAAATCCACCCGACATGGTCATCCTGGAAACTGTAAGGGTCCACCCAGTCCCTGTCATCCCAGCAGGCATGGGCGCATTCAGGCCCAGTTCTCAGTCACTGCATGCAGAGCAACTAGTCTGTGGGACTATGGTAAAAAAATAGTTCAGACCTTCCAATCTCACGAAATATTTTTTCCCATGAGAAGTTGGAAGATCTGAACTATTTTTTTTACCATAGTCCCACAGACTACTTTAGTTGCTCTGCATGCGCGGCAGTGAAAGGAGCTGGAAAGTTTAGTGAAGGGATGTGGCTACCCTGCATGGCGCAATGTATGTGTGAGGGTTTGGCCTGGCTGAAGGGCCCTCAGGTAAGCCTGGGCGGGGCAGGTCTTCACCCACTGCCTTGCTTCATTCTTCACTTCTTCTCCTTGCTTGCCACTGTAACCTGGCAGGAGGCTGACCAATGCACTGATGGCTATGGCCACAAAGGGGGGGGGGCTGTAGTACGAAGCAAGGCAGAGTGGTGCAGAACTTCCTCTCACCTTGCTTCATACTCCACCACCAGTGGCTCCTGTTCCCCGCGCCGCTGCTAGCAGCTTGGGTCCCCCTCCCTCCCTCCCTCCCTCTCTCTCTCACACACACACATGGATTGCTCTCTCTCTTTCCCTCTCTCCCCATTTGCATGCAAGCATGCTCTGTAGGACAGAGACAGTAGGTCTCATTAAATAGTTAAATGGAAAGTAGTTGAGGGGGAAGGGAGGAGCAGGAGGTCAGCAAACACTTTTTACACCAAGAATGAAAGTTTCTGAGTCCCTGACTCTGCAAAAGAGGATGGGTGCCTGAATCTGTGCAATGTTATAGCACCCAAGAGGAGCATCCATTCTTGGCATGAAAAGCATTCTCCAGCCAACTCTCCTCTCCCTTCCTCAAAGCAACCTGTGCTCAAGAACATATTAGTCCCAACTCGTACATACTGGGGCTTATCAGTGAGAAATTCAAAAATCTAGTTACACAAAGGGTTAATGTAGCCTAAAAGACCCAGTTTATCTTTTCAATGTTAAGGAATGATCATATGAAATGCCAAAGTAAAGTCAACAAACAACATTCACATAAATATTTCTTTCCTCTAAGTGTGTCACGCTCAGATGGAGAATAGAGGAAATAACATCCTTTGTGGAATGATTTGGATGGTAAGCAAACTGAATTGAGTCAAACACTGGAGGGAGGCTGGATACTTTAAAGTCAATCAGCCTTTCAAAACATTTCATAATGATAGACGTATGTGCAATCAGACGATAATCATTAACATAAATTAAAATTATTCTTCAGCAATGAATGTAGAGCAAAAGTTCCAACAAGGAAGTCCTGGCTGACATTTTCACACAAACAAAAAAGTAAGACATTTGGGAGTTGATTGCTTGGAAGAACACCACTAGATTTTCTATCTGCAAAAACAGCATTTACCACTCAGAGGAAAAACCTGTTCCAGAAAATCCCACAGCATTCAATCTTCTTTTTAACACTGTAGGTGAAATGAGGCTGTTGGGAAAAGTCTTTGTCTACCTTCCTCAACTATGAAATTTGGCAGGAAGGAGGACACGTCAGATAAACATTATGAGTCCACATCATTTTGCCCCCACTATTGATGGGTTAATTCTCTTTTCAGAATCTTTACCTGGCCTCAGAAGACCCTGAAAACATCAAGCTGATATTGCAGCTGGATAATAAGGACCCTCCCTGCCAAAGAAAAAAGCAAGGGAAAAAGACCTTAACCACAAAAGGGCACCTTTCTCCAACGTATCCCTTACACTCCTGTTTTGTTTTGTTTTTTGCCACAGTAAATTAACACAGTAAATTAACATCCTACACTCTCCAAAAGACAAAAATAGTGGATCCAACATCTACTAGGCTGTACTTTAGTAGCAAAGATTACTTACGATAACATTTCAAATGCACATCCAATTAAGTGGCTAGACATAAAATACTTAAGCTATCCCCTAGCAAGAAAGCAGTCTTGCGCACTCAAATCCAATGCCAAGAATATATTTCATAGCATTAGATGATTTTTTACCACTTGTTCCTGGGCAAAAGTAAAGCTAATTTTATATTGATATGCCCTTATCCAAGTTTCACATATAAAGCAGAAACCTATCCCGGAAAACAGATTAAGACCTAGATCTGAGCCTCCTTTTTCAAACTTGGATGCCTAAAATAGATTCCCCAAAATAACTTGGTGAGGTCTTTCATGAGCCAGAGGGAGGCAATGTGAACATGGTGAGGGCCAAATTCAGGCACCCTGAGACTCCAGCATACTCGTTATGGAGAAAGCATACATCCTCTTTTGGACATCAAGGGGAAAGAGGTATCTTTGTCGGTCTTGGCATTCCTAATCCACCCTACCTCGGTGTAAAACTTAAGGACCATAGCTTGCAAAACGAAACCACTTTTGGAAGATGCGGGTGGAGGAAGAAAGCCCTTTATGGAATGTTGCGACCCAACAGAACAGAGGTTGGGGTGCAAATGGGGCTTTCTCCGCTCTTTCTTCTCCCCAATTTTTCTGCATACCCCCACCCCGTTTCCCACGGGGAAGAACCCAAGAAGCGCTCTGCACACATTAAGGTTTTTCTCCTCCTTTTCTGCACTCCCCTCCCAAGCTTTTCACAGGAATGAAATTCCAAAGAGGCACTCTGCACATGTCTAGGGGTCCGCGACGGAATCTCACCCGAGGGCGCGCGGCGCTGCTGTTGCTTGCGGTATCGGTCGCTCTCGTAGAAGCCCAGCGTTTCAGTATGGGGTGGAGATTGCCCATCGCCGCCGCTGGCGAAACTGCTCTGTCGCGGCTGCCCGTCTTCCTCTGGCAGCAGTAGTGGCAAGGGTTCCGGCGGGGAGCCCCGGTGAGGTCCGGCCCCGCCACCGCCATTCCCGCTACCCGGAGCCGCCTCGGCCAGCCCCGCCATCTTCGCGCGCGCGACGGCGGCGGCCCCCGGCAGTGGAGGGAAGCAGCCGCCACCCCGGAGGACGTCATCTCCGCGCGACACAGAGCGCACCAGCCGGGTCCATTTCTCCCGCGCGCGTGAGCAACGAACTCCCTGCGCCGCCATCTTGGCTGTGTTGGCCAGCCGACTGTTGCCCTGGTGACGCCTCGCCACTCGGGAGGTGGGGCCAGAAGTCCTAGGCAGCGTTCCCTGGACGCAGGAGAGAAGAGGAGGGTTTGAAGAGCGGGGTCCTGCAGCCGCGGCAACCTTAAGACGAGTAGATCGCAACTCCCAGAATTTTCCTGCAACCTGACAGGGAAATCTTGGGAGTTGAAATCTAGTCGTCTTAAATTTGATGATACTAAGAAACGCTGCATTAACCCGTTCCGTTGGGTTTTATCCAGCAGTTGTGTAATGAAACGGCTCCAGCGCCTTTGCCCAGTTGTTCCACCTGTTCCCCTCAGGATGTGCCTACACTTCTTCTCGTGCAGAGGTAGTAGTGGCAGCGGGTGGTTTCGCCCACCCGCCTGGACGCTTCTGTGCAGGCGTCACGTCTCAGCGCGAGCGAACTGGTAATAAAAAAAATTGGAAACCCTCCACTGTTCTTGTGCCATATCCGTCATCGGATGTTGGCGATCATGTTGGCAGTCCTATTTTTGTCAACAGTCAGATGAAAAAGTGCTGCTGAGTTTTGTCCTCCAGTTAAAATCTTTTATTCCTATATTGCATTCTGAAGTCTGGAATGCAGTTTCAATGCCTAAATCCACAGGCACTTTATTTATTTTATTTTATTAAGCATTTATAGGCCGCCCTTTTCCCTGAGGGGACTCAGGGCGGCTTACAATAATAGGGGAGGGGAGTG